ATTTCGCCAAATCGTCGTAATGAGGAAGGTTATAAATTTAATATCACAAGCATAATATCACGACATATAAAATTTCGCTTATTCATTATACAAAATATTTGAAGTAACAAGAATATTTGAAAGAATTGTATGAGGGGTATCACGATATAAGTAAAATTTAAGTAAAAATTGTGAAAAAATAAAGAACTGAAAAATATTAATGAAAGCAACAGTGTGACTAGACAAGAGTCATCAGTAACACAAGACACGATCAATCAGCCTCAAATTCCTTAATTCGTGAAAATATAATATCATTTCATCCCGCAATAATGACTCACCAAAAATAGACCCGCGAATTTTAACTAGATCATCGACATTCCGTGCGACTACTTCGACTTCACTCCAACGTCTGTCACATAAACTCTGGTAGTTTATTGCAGCCGGAGCAAAATAAGCGGAAGACTGGGGTGCGCCTCACTTACGGCTTTGCGGCAATGGGGACTGTAGAAGGAGTTTTATTTAAGGAGAACAAGAAGGCTGCGACGACGATGACGAGGTAGGAGGAGAAGCACCGTAGAGGAAGAAAAAGAACAAAAAAAAATCCACCGAGCTGTAAAGCGAACCGCGTTTACGACCGTCGTTAAGGCCACTCTGAGCGACCTGTCTGATTACATTGATGCTGCTTACTGCAAAGCGGGACTAATCCTTCCGCCGACGATTCGCCGAACGCTCGCTGCAACTATTAGAAGCGAGATCTAAGCACGAATTCTCGCTCTCTCTCGCACATGCGACATTAAATCGGCGACGATCGATTTTTTTTACGCCAACGAGCCGAGAAAGGAGTACTAACGTATGTAATTGCTCTAACGAGTCCGCCGCACGCAAGGGTTGTCGAGAATACTTCGCCGAATCGATTCACGATAGAAAAGAAAAACATCAAGAGAAATTATACATCGCGGCATCACGCGTGTGCTGCGTGATCATGTTTTTCTCAGATAGATACAAGGACGGACATCAAAACGCGACATTATATATTTGTCGCCCATAATTTGTCTTGCAAAAGTCTCCAGAAACATCTAACGATAACAGAAGTGTCCGTGGAACGTCTGTTTTCATGATTTCTCATCGCTTATGCTCACACTTAACAAAGATACATACATACATACATATATATATATATATATATATATATATATAATATGCTTGTATATTTTATATATCACTCAAAAAATGATCTTGCAAGTAGAGCCAAAATTTTTTGGCTGCGAAAAGTTAATTAAAGTTGATAAGTGATAAGCAAACTGTGATATCACATATATTTGATTAACCAATCTAAATGACAAAGACAGAATTTATATCTGAACTGTTTATGAAATTTAGAAAGAAAATTTTTCTGTGGTGCCCAGAAAAATTTTCTTGTTAAGGCCAATCATACTTGTTTGGCTACACAGAAAAGACTAGCGGCGAAAGACGAATATATTTTCTAGAAGGTATTGCTAAAATTGCTATTATAGATTCTATATGTGGCAAACAATATTTTAGCAAAAACAAAAAGTATAGCGATACATTTTTATTGTGATATATTGTTAGAAATTTACCTATATCAGCAAAATTAGTAAGAATAATTGGAGGAATCATATTATTAAAAAAAAATTATAGCATTCCATTTAAAAAAGAGAAAGTGATCTTCATATCTTTTTAGCTACACCATCTAGAAAAAAAAGCAACTTGACAAAATATGTTCCCCTCAAGATCTTACAATTTTTGTCTGAGACATTTTTCTCTAAACCTCCGTGATTTTCAAATATTTAACTGTCAAATATAAAATGGGACACCCTGTATATATATCACTCAACATATATTATATACATATATATATATATAATATACAAACATGTAAGCAGAGTCAACTGCACGATTACCCGGATTCCATCGTTCGGTCCACAGTCGGTGTAGAGAGCGACCGTCCGATTTATTTTCAACGGCCCTAATCACGGGCTGAAAGCAATCAGTATCCGAGATAGCCGACAATCCTCTCTCTCTCTCTCTCTCTCTCTCTCTCTCTCTCTCTCTCTTTCTCTCTTTTGCCGACGTTTTAATTACCGCTTCCATTTTCATATCGTGGGTATCTCGCCGCGCGCCGTTTAGCGAGCCGTGCATTTTTAGGTCTTTTTACGACCGCCATTGCGCCGCAATGTTGATGCCCCCTAGCTCAACGGCGGATCGTATACACTCGATAAATCTGGATTTTCCTCTCCTCCTTCCAACGTTTCTGAGAGACAGTGAACGCCCTAGCGTATCAACCATTAGATAACTCATGCGATAAGACCGACTGGTTTATTGCGCGTCGCGCAAGTTTTTTTTTTCAGAAGCTTAGACGTGTATACCTGCGTACGTCAGCGATCTCCGTCGGTGATATTGTGAATTTTAAAGTATCAACCGCGCTACCGTACAATAGATTGAGACGTTCGCATACGTGAATAGCACGGTGAAACTGCATTTCCATATCGTCATCGACGACAATGAAGATGCTGCGGTTTGCGGAAACACACCACAAATGCAACCACCATATTATTATGAAGAAGCATCTTCATTTCTTCTCGATTCAGACATATGGAGGTTCGCAGTGCCGTGTGACAGAACTAAATAATACTGATTATTTGAGAATATCTAAAATACAAACAGAAATTGTTCACTCATAGAGTATCCAGCCGGAAGTGCATTTGAGAAACCAGTGTGAACATGGACAATTATACCTATAAACTCGCGTGTATGAGTCTGTATAATCAAATGCAAAAAATACTAATTTTTATAACATTAATCTAAATATAAGACCACACAGTTCATGCATTAAGATATTAATAATATTATCGTAATCTTGGGTGCAGACAATATTTTATGACTATTTTTTCAATTTTTTACAGTGACCGCCATTATCTCTGACTCCTTTGTATTTTCATGTCACACCGTGTGTTCTTTTGTCACCATATTAACACGCAACTTCCTTTGGTTAACTCTTTGTAATGTTAAAAGAAGAAAGGAAAACGTTCTGTTTGTGATGTATCTAACTTCAAAGAGACTCCTTTAATTAAATTTATTCTTCTTCCCCTTTTCTACGGGTGTACCAAACACTGCTGACGTGGGAAAATTATGTACAGCCGAGAATTTATTGACTCCTTTTATCTCTAATGTTTATTTCTATCAACGTAGATTAACTTTAATCTCGGTTTAACTGTTTTTATGCTCTTCTAGTTTTAAGAATTAAAAAAGGATACAGAGTAAATTAAAGTTAATCTCCAATGGTAGAAATGGGCCTAAATAGAGTACAATAACTGTCGTTTATGAATGACATAAGATTGATCTACCTTTCAATAGAGAGAGAATTTTGCGGAAAAGTAGTTTATTATTAAAAGTTTATTTTCATTACTTTAATTCAGCAAACATAAAAATAAAACTGCTAATAAATATGATTCTACAAATTAATATAATAAAAAACAGTAATTCAAAAGTACGAAAATTCACGATTTCAATTTAGAGTTTAGTTTTTGTCGAATAAATATTATGGTTAATCAAATATACGCACACATGAAACGTATATTTATTTGAAGTTCTATCTAAACATGCAAATCACGAAATACGAGAATCCCCGGAATGCATCGGTAAATAATCAAGATCGCAATCTCCTTGGGACGCCAGCAAACATATGAGAACGAATTGAATGTGAATACCGTGGACGGCTTATCTTTAAAGCAACGTGCGTAATCCCTGCTGGTTGACCGGCGTTGGATTTGAGGTCTACTTTCTCACACATAGCTATTTTCTTCATAAACGCCAAAGACGATAACCGGGTATCGCCATGGGCAAGAATTGAACGGAGAAAACTGACTAACACTTATAAATTCGATTCTTTATAGTGTTGCCGTCGTTTAAGCCGATGGAAGTGGGAGAATCGACGCGTCTTTGAGCTCCTGCACGCTTCCTGCGTGTTCTAGGCGGTCGCTTTGACGTAGTTAGTACCAAAATCAATATTAATGAATATTTCTTGGTAAAAAAACTCAATACAAAACCCACTAAACTGCAAATCCAAGTCTAAATTTTTACACATTTTATCTGTGTTTTAACACAGTTAAATACACATTTTTTACACGTTTACACATATTATTGTAAAATTAAGCGTGTAATATATGCATTTAACTGTGTAAAACAAAGATAAAATATGTAAAAATATAACACGCGTATAAATGCGTAAAAAGTGATTACGGATTTACACACTTGGATTTGGAGTGTATAACATGTATATGATTTGCCATTTATTCTGCGAGATGTAATTGATGCAATTCAACGGTCTTTATGCCTTTTATAATCTTTCTCACAATTGCTATTGACACTATAATTACAATTCTTGACAGATCAACGAATTTGATCTCTGACAATATTACGCAACGAATATGTTAGCACGACGATTAAAATAAAAAGTGATCGCTTTCGACAATTACAGATATTAGAAGTCGGGAATTTAAGAGAAGTAAAAAATCTCCAGCGATAAAGAAAGAAGTAAAAGAGGTGAAGCAATGGGCGGATGGAGTCAGAGAAGGATGAGCAGCCGTTTGCCGATCTAAACGCCGCGGTCTGCTCGGCTCTCGGAAGGAAGGGAATTTTATAGCTTAGAATCTGTTTTATGTGCGCCGGATTTGCGATTACGACCCGGACTCTCGACGATCCAAACAAAGGAAGAGCATCGGGAGTAATGGAGACCGCGATTTATGTTCTAAACCGAAAACTAATCCTTTTCCCCATCACACACACATCTAACGCTTATTATATTAAATTCGATTTCATCAACTGCCATGCGCGTATCGTGGTCAAATAATGAGATACGCCAGTTTCTTCGTATCCAAATATTCGATATATAATTAATATTCAATATATAATTACATAAAGGCATAACTTATTATAATGAGTGATTGATAATGAGATTCTTTTTACCAAAATTCTGAAAAAAATAAGATAAATAGACTTACCAATAGTACTTATAGTGATCGAATAGGAGACCGAATAGGAGATTCGGTAGAGAGGTCAGTAAAAGAATCAGTAGGAGGTTCAGTAGAAGGTTCAATAGGAGGTTCAATAGAAGGATCAGTAAAAGGTTCAGCAGAAGGTTCAATAGGAGGTTTAAGTGAGCTTTCAGGATACGGAGAGGTACTTGTCGCTGATACTGGTAGGGAATTGTAGGACCACCAGGTTGGAAGATTTTGGAGTGGACACGATCTTATTCCAGACTGTTCCTTTTCCGGAGTTCTCACGACCCACGGTTGCCGGAAATAACAGCATGCCGCCTGTTCTAATGTCGTCACGAATGGTATTTCGGATCCGTGAATGGCTAAAAAAGAAGGAAAAAAAGAAGAATTTTATTCACTATTGCACTAGTAATTTTATTTTACGTGTGATGATAAAATAAAAAAAATAATTGAAATTAATCGTGTATCCTTATAAATAGTAGTTCCTTCACAACATGACAACTAAAATTGACTTCTACCAGATATCGAGCAGATATTTGTATCGGCAATAGACGAGATTTCGGAATCTATATCCAATAATATGCACTTAGATGAAATTTATTTTCTCTAAAATAATCGATCTCTCAAGACATGTTTCGTATGCATAAATCTCTCCAATTATTCAAGAATACGAAACAAACTATCGCACGGACGCGGCTTCGCTCGACAGTTGCCTTTTGTGCCTTTCATTACTTAATATGGTGGAATATAATTTTAATTAATTTTAATTGTTGCCACTCCTGTTGGGGATAATAAATACCATTCACTGTCGAGCCCCCTTCCTTCTTTCTCGAGCTTCCTTCGTGCAGGATATAAAGTTAGAGGCATCGTAATCGATCTAAATTAGTTGCCTCTCTGATTGCCGGGATACGCCTCTGGCATCCACCTGAGTTAGATCAATTTATAGCACTATCGAAATGGTATCGCGTATACTTTATTTTAAAAGTTCTCGTTTCGCGCGTGTATTCGCGCGAATTCGGAAGGTGATTCATATTTATCTATACCGCGAGGGATATTAATTGAGCCGTCACAAAGCTAATCTAGCGGTGTTTAATATCTCGAAATCAATTCGGACAAAGAGCAAGGCTCAGATAAGTGGAGGCTTAATCGTTTATAGTTCGACGAGAAAAATACCGTCAATCTACGGCACGATATATGTTTTTATCCTTTAATTTAAGACATAAATTTTGTTTGACTTAGACGTAAATTACATGTCAAGTCACTTAATTGCGGCAGGCTTTTGCTCATCGTGCATACTGATTGCGAGGGCACTTGTAAATTACGGTGAATTATGCGTAAGATTGCAGAATTTATTATACGCCATGAAGATTATGCGACAGTTTCAATTCGCGAAGCGACAGTACTCTCACTTAGATCCAATAATTGCCGGTTCAACATGTTGCCGGCGACGTTGCTTGATTGCAGGCGTGTACGGCATCGCCAATTCTTGATGCGGGCCGATTTATAACGCATCTATCACACGTCGTAACTTTTAGAGGCCGCGCATCTCCATACTTATTTCGCCTTACATTTAGCTCCTCTCCGGGGAAGATCCGATGCTTCTGATACTTGAAAGCACAAGCTTTACGAGGTATCGGTGACTCCGTCTATTATTACTGCCCTCGCGGTAAATAATCGCAGTTAAAGTTTACACCATCGTAAACCTCGGACTGAGAAATTACTTTGCAAAAGTTTCAATTGCACAACTCGTTCGTTTAAGAAATATAAATATAGTAGCGATATGCATAATTGAGTGAGATTTATAAGTGTTTTCATAAATTTACATATCTATAACTTGCGCACTGTTGTGCAGAAATATAATGATGTGAATAATTTCAAACAATATTTCTGAAATTGAATAAAACAAGATATAATAATAAAGTAATAATTTTCACAGTCTCTAGTTTTATTTATAGTTTTGATTATATAGCTTATATAGATTAGATTAGATTATACAGATTAATAGGTATATATAGATTAATAGTGAATATACAGGAGTCAAGTAAAGATGGATTTGTGTCTCTAAGAGGTAGGAAGTGCAAGGTATATGTATAAATGTATAAAAAAAATTTTTTTAAAGACAAAATGCATGTATTTTGAAAGCCATCCTAAGCCGCAAGGCAAGAATTAAAATTAATAAAAATAAAATAATAAAGTACAAGGCCTTGACAATTTTTACTTTCTTGTTCGTTTTCAATCAAGTTTTCCACGAAAAAAAGGGAAGAATATTAAAATACGAATATTAAAGTGCGCTCCGATTTAGATCTATCGATGATTACACACGACGGTCACGCTCCGAGCAACAATTTTCTTAGACGGTGACCGTCTCTTGGTGTTTTGCACCGAATGCACGTCCGAAACATTATCGGCCACTCCAAAATTTATGCCGTGCACCCCGGGCGAACGGTGCGGTTATCAACAAACTGCGCGTTGCGCTCGCGCAGAGAAAACGTATTCCCGAGATTTATTACGGGTCTCCATTCTTTACGTACCTTCAGTCCCGTCAAGGAGGACTGCGTCGGCCGTAAGTGAGAAACTTTCCAAGACACACGTCGGCGCAGATATCGTCCGTGCAGTTATCAACACACGCGCAAAAATGATAACTCGATATCGGGCGATGTACGTTATAAAAGGTACATTTATTACGGAGACACTGGGAATAAAAGTTGAACGCTAAAGCTTGCAGTTGACAGCGAAAAAAGGAAATGTTTATCAAAAAGCGATGTGAATTTCATAATTGCTGAAGAGGTAATTTTTTTCTTCATCAAACGACATTATCTCGATATTGTTATTTTTCTCTTGCACTGCAAAATACAAACATTTGTGCTAAAAAAAAATCATATTTAAATACTCAGTGACAAACATTTTTGTAGCAAAGAGATGGATAAGAACAAAATAAAATGTTCTGTATTATATTGTATAACTTTAAGCAGAGAAAGCTTAGAATTTCTATATGTAAACAGTTTTAAAGAGGTGGCAAATCTGAAATTGAGTAATCGGGTATTTGCTTATACAAGATTAAATTAATTCGCAAAAGATTTTACCGATACGAGCGCGCGGTTTCTCGCGGAAGCAATCGTTCAAAGTTATCAGTTAAAGATATTAATGTTTTCCTTGATATCACACGCGGGAGTTGCGAGACCAGAGAAGGTGCGAGCAAGTTGGCGACCTTTCACGACGCCACTCGATATAGGAATGATTTATTCCAGATGCAATCCTGGAAGGATGAATCCACAAGCAACATAGAGAGTACTCGTATAAACCAGCCGTAAAAATATCGCTTGCCTCGTAAATTATCAGCGGCATAGCCTTGCGCACACGATCATTTCGCCCGATCCTTTCGCCGCGAAAGGTGTCCGCAATCGCGTATTTTTCTTAACGCCCGTATCCTCGCATGTAAACACTACGCGTGCAACGAAATCGCGTTTGAGAAACATTCTTACGCGGTTTGCAACACTACTTTATAACAGAGTTAAGAAGAGATATCAGATCAGAGAAAAAAGATCCACGAAAAAAAGAAATCCTGTCGATTGATTACACTAGTTTACAGCAAAAAATTACTTTGGACCGGACTACGTGTCTCTTATAGATTTTTGAATGCTGAAAACGATGCCGCAAGCGAAAAAATTCTAGCACGTCAGATTCCTAAGATAATTGAGATTTAATACTTAAAAAATGGCTTTTTTGCGATATTTGACTTTTTCTTATTAAGAAGGTTAACGTTATCTTAAAATTTCGATCAGAAGTCTTGAATATATTGTTCATCCCCTATAAAATGTATTTTTTAAATTTTTATTAACGTTAAATTCTTCTTTATAAACAAAATGTCAAATATCGCAAAAAAGCCATTTTTTAAGTATTAAACCTCTATTTTGGAAATCTGACGTGCTAGAATTTTTTGCGGTATCGTTTTCAGCATCCAAAAATCTATAAGAGCACGTAGTCCGATCCAAGGTAATTGAAAAAAAAATTTTTTGTAAACTAAGGTTATTAAGCCCTAAACCTGCTGTGCAATAATGAAAGTAAAAGGGCAGTTTTTGAAAAAATAAGGGTTGCGCGCCCATTGATGGTACCACGACAGCACGAGTGGAAGATGGCGCGAAGTTAAAGTTATCTTAGGGAATAACTTCAACGTCACGACAGATATTACAGGTAACAGAGTATTATCGGATCAAACGTGCTCAGAAATAGAATTCGCAGCTGCGTGTTCGCTCGCTTACTTAATCGCCATAACTTCCGGTCGCCTTAGAATTACGTGACGTCACCTGCATTCGTCGCGGATCGAAGTGACGCCAAATATAAAGCTCGGGGGAAACTCATGCAATTTGCTCTTAATTTTTATTGCTTATTGGGAATTGTTGAGTATTAAGATCGGAGATCCGCTTCCAGCACAAAAAGATGTAAAAATCAACCATAACGATTCAAACAAGAGTATCAGGTTAAATCGAAACGCAACGTGAAAGTAGGAATAACATGTGTAAAATAAAATTTTCAATGTAACAAAAATTGTATCTTAAAATGATATTTTTATTTCCTCCTTTCAATATCTTACGGAACAAACAAATTAATCAAAAATATTAAATTGCACAATCGGCACTGCTTTTTTACAAACGATTTCTACATATCGACTTATCAATTCTCTATGTTTACTTGTTGCTCCACTATAATATCTCCAATAATATATCATTTTAACTTTTTTTTCTTCTTCATTTTTGAACTCTGATCTCTATTATTTACGACAAACTATGCGTATCAGCTTACGGAGCACATGCATTCTTCCCGCATTGAGATTACCGGTTTTCTCGATATTATTATCCTTCCTAGAGCCATCTGTTGCATCTGTACAGCGAGTACAGCGAGTTTGCGCATGTACGCAGAACATTCTTTATACATGCGTAATTCATTAAAATAAGTACCATTATTTGTAAAATATACCCGTCCCGGATATACTAAAATAATTATAAAACCCTCACGAATTGTATACCATTCCGGCCGCTAACTTAATTCATATTAATTGTTATCTAGAGCAGCTAGGATTAATTAGTAACAAATTATAGATCTTTAAGGGAAATGCGTAGTGGTGAATACGCAAATGTTCTCACATAAATTTTTCAAATCAGCTTCCGATTATAAAGTGAAAAACGCGGGAAATGATTTTCACATTATTTAATATACAGAAAATTAACATACTTTTCCGCGCATAATATTGAAGTACTGCTTGTAAATCAAAAGGATATCTATTGCGTAATAAAAATTATGAGTTCAAAATATAAAGAGAGAAAGAGAGAGAGAGAGAGAGAGATTTGTTAAATTAAAATTTACA